TTGTGACTTGTTAGTTGCAGGTGTCCATGGGCTAAGGTAAGCTACCTACCATCAGATAATCCGTCTGCACCATATATGGCACCCACTTCATTCGCATGAAATTTGAAAAGCGCTGCCTTAGTGGTGCAGTACGGTACGCGACTGCAGTCCATGAGGCCAACGTTCGATTCCCGTAACGAGCAAAATTCTATGGAGCTTTTCTGAGAAAAAAAAAGCCTAAGTTACTCCTTACATAGACAGCAAACTGGTAGTAAAATATTATGAAAATCGATTCAGCCGTTTTGAAGATTACCCGGAACAAACCGACGAACAGACAGACAAAAACTGGTTTTTAGGCATCAGTATCATGCAAATAACTGTGTGAGCATAAAAAAAACCTATTGTTTTGACGTTACAAACAGACACTGTAATTTTATTTATTTGTATAGATTTTAATCACGATTCTGAGAAACAGGTCTTAACAATTGGACTTAAATTTGCCACTTCAAACACAAACAGACAACCAGATATAGAAATTATGCCTGTAAATATTATTTTGTGTTTTTATGAGGTACGGAATCCATTTTTCGGATATATTTATCGGATATATCCGAAAAAGTGTGAGTATATGAAGTATTGAAACGTTTTCGCGGCAATCTATTACGAGTAAATAATAACTATATTCAATATATGGAGCCTTGACATACATAAAGCATTTATATAAAAATAACACGCTTATCTGAACAGAATACGTGTTGCTTTTCTTATAAATAGTCAGACAGTTTTTCTTATCAGTCTCATCTAATAAATAATGAGCGCCTATATTGTGACAAATCGTAAAAAACTGTATTCTTCATTCCTTAATTACCCACCCTTAGGGATGGCATTTTTTTTACTATTCTAAATTAAAAAAAAAAACAAAATCGGTTTAAAAATGGCAGAGATTAAAATCCTCCTCTTTTTTAAAGTCCGTTAAAAAAGATTTTTTTTTATTTGGTTCGAAATGTAGGATAAACAAAAATGTCGCGATTAAATTGAATTACACATAGGTTTAAAAAAATGCTTTTGTAAATAAATAGAAATGGAATGTTTGTACATCATCATCAACAGCCTTTAATAGTCCACTGCTGGACATAGACCTCTCCTTACAAAGGAGGTTTGTACGTCACGTCAAATTATAAGCTTTTGCTACTAAATACATCTGATTGTTTAACCGATGTTAACTTCAAAAACTTAAACAATAAAAAAAAAAAATTATAATAGTAATGCTGATAAAGTGTTGAAAGGATTTATCTATCCTTCAACTCAGTATTTCCTTATTTTATATTTTGAAATTTTTATCTAGCTGTATTTTTTTTTAGTATATGACTAAAAAATTAATGACTAACAGTTTTTTCGAACTTGAGACCCTATTTAAAGAGTTTTCAAGTTAAAAAAAAAATTAAACCATTATAGTAGTAAATTAAGACATTAAAATCGTAAATTCTAGGTTTCATGCCGACTTTTAAGGTGAGCTCGACGCCCTTGACGTGTTTAAAAACAATTAATATAATATTAGAGAAATAAAATCTTTTAAATTAATGATTCAAGTACGAAATAAGCTACCCTGTATTAGACGATTACCGCAGCCTATCAACTGGGTAGTGGCCTTGTTAGGAACATTATTTTTTAATTACACGACACCTAACCACATGTTTAAGTACGCTAGTGATGTACCAGATATCCGGCGTCCTATAAGTATCCGCAGATATCCGAGAGTAAAAGATATGTAACCGTGTTTGGTAGATGGTGATGGTGATGGATCATTTACTATTTTTCTAAAATTAAATATTATAATATGTAGTGTAGTAACTTGACTATCTTTTCAACAATATGAAACTCCAAATCTTTGTGCCTTGTGCATTTAAATAGTTATTTTAAGAAATAAGCAAACTGCAACTGTTGTTTCATTTTTAAACGCATTGCTATCAAATAAGAAGAAAAGCTGAAATCTGCATTCGTATTCAAGTGTTTAGACATCAATAATCCATATACGTATCCGCGGATATATGATTATTCGATCCAGCACATCACTACATAATATGTACACACTACACGTGAATGCGTGTTCATTATTTTTTAAACGGAAACAAAAAAGGAGCAAGCTTATTGTACAATAACACTTTAATAAGGGAAATTGATGTTCGCCCATCCACTTTCTCTAACTAATTAAACTTGCTTTTTGACTTTTAATATAAAACTTTTGATTTTTTTTGTAAAAAAATGAGATGAAAAAGCGAACGCGGTTGTTTATGTCAAAATAGTACTCGTTTGAACTTTTGCGCTCGTATTTTGTTAAAAATAAATTAAATAACTCTGTGGTTCCTTTTTTAAAATAAGGTGGAGTTCTTTTTTATTTTGATTAGTTTCGAGATTATTTTGTTGTTTAAGATGGTTCAAAACATAGACAAGGATAGCTAAATAGGCGGCATTGAGTTAAGCTGTCAAATTATTTCTGTTCGAATATATATTTTACACCGGTTAAAAAACATTTTAAAGTTTAAAAAAATATCTACTAGGAAGGGTTCTGAGAAATCATATAATTTATACCTTGGCAACAGTCAAAATACTTTTTTAATTAAAATCATTAAACTAATAAATAAAATGCGGGCGTAGTTAACAAAATCTGTATTCATAATTTTAGATATTTTTATTACTTTTTAACTCCCGACAAAAACGACGGGTGTGTCGTTTTTGTCTGTCTGTGGCATCATAGCTCTCGAACGGATATACCGGACTTTTTTGTTCGAAAGCAGATGTGATCGAGATGGTTCTTAGCTATAAATTTTGAAGATCATCAGCACTCTTCTTAGGCGATGAAGGGATCTTACTAAAATCCACAAGTCCGATTGATCTAAAATTTGGTATACTGTTACTTTGATGGTATTTCCACGACATGGTAACCTGGAACTTGCTGCTGCATCAAGTAGTCTGCGGGATAGCCAACTCTTCAGAAAATTACAGCATATATACCATGTTCGGGCTTCATCATACTGTTTTATACTTTTTCTGTGTCAGGGGTTTTTTAATATTGTGTTTCTTTTCACCATTTCAAATCAATTACAATTGTTTTATGTTGTTAAGGAATTCTATAACCCTAAAGGGAGGGAGGTCTATAATAATAATTAAACAATTACTATAAGTATGAAAAGAAAAATCATTTTATCGTTAAAAAGCGTGGGTGTGCTAGATCTCAATTGTTGTAAAAAATATTTTATTAACAGACGTTGGTAAAATTAAAGTAAATATTATAGAATATCTTGAAAAGCATTCTTTAATTACTCATAGACATAGAAAACTATTTTCTACTTTTTGGTTCGGTTAGTAACAAAACCGTGTTTTTTTTTATTTTTTAAACCATAATTTATTTTTGATTATTTAGTCGTTAATGATGATTATTTTATCATTGAGACTAAAAAATATTGTAGATATTTGCATAATCAATTTTATCATAAAACTAACCAATTCACTAAAAAAATCCAAAAAGACCTATTATCGCGAACTTTAACCTTGAATACATTTTTTTGCACACATGGGATCGATGGGGAATTTTCACAATTTCATTATAAGGTCCCTAATGTTCATGGAAAAATTCAGCTTGGGAATGTATACAAGGGTACTCCTACTTTTCGAGCTATTTTGACCGGAGTATTACTAAAAAGTAACATCTTAAAAACTATTTTTATAACATTATAATTGAAATGATAGTGTGTGTGGATAGTTATGTTATAGGTAGAGTGAGCAAGAAATATTTTATAATGAGAAAGTAGTATAGAAAAATAGTATTGGAGGGAAAAGGACAGAACATGTTTGATCAGGATCGCCCTTATGATACTGTTTCCAAATTTTCGGAAAGCGATGTGTATTGTTTGCTGTTTGGGTTGGTTTACATGGCGCGGGCAGTGCATTTAGTTCTCGCTATTTTTAATACTAAGACGGACGTAATATATACGTTTTTAATACCAAGGACAAATATATTGATTTATTGTGATTTTGATTAGTCCCTATTAAATTTTAACTCTATTAATTAAATCTCTATAAAAAAATAGATTGTAGGTTTACTTTAGTTGGTTCAACTTTGAGCAACCGAAACAGTATGTCTCTGCTCACTTTAAAATTACTGCTTCCGTATAATATTCTTTTGATCTCTGTTATTCAATGTGTCGCATGTATCTTCAATTGGCCGATGGTACCATCTGAAAACCATTTAAAATACGTTAACTCTTATCTGTAAACACTACTAATATGAATTAGTAATAATGTTTAATAAAAATTAAAATAAATAAAGGAAAATTGTAGGAGAATGGTAGCGTTTCTGAGATAGGACAAAGAAAGTAGAAGTTTAGATGGCCATCTTTCCTATTTCAGGATTCGTTACGAACTAATATGTGTTAGGTAGTCGTCAGTGACGAGCCCGCACATTACCCGCCAATAATTATTACGGCGCAGCGTGCTTCTCTAGGGCAAGAAGAGGATTTGCTTCCCTCCTAATGAATGGGAGCGCCAACAAGTGATAATCAAGGTTTAATTTTCAGGCACATATATTTTACTTCACACATAAAAAAAAAAACACGTGCGTTAGGAAATAAAGCCAAATCCCTTGCTAGTTATAGTTATAAAACACCATCACATTAATAAGTAAGCGCCATGTAAACCCTCACTACAAGGTAATGCACCGGCCCCTTGTCAAATAATCGACTTGGCCAAGGGTGGCCGGGTGGGGAACACAATTTTTGCTATATTTCTAACAAAAAAAAATATATATGGCACGCGTTTTACTTAAAACATCAGTTTTGAGCGCACGCGCACACGGTCACACGCCACAGAAGATGAAAGAAGAAATTGATTTGATTGCGTGAATGACTCCACTTATTTTAGTTGGCTATTTAAGGACTCATGTTTATTGGTGTTGTTTGGACTTAAGTGCGTGAAGTGATTTTAAGTGCTATTTATATAATGGTTGTTAGAACTAAGTGCTGACAATGGAAGCTGTAGACCTTAGACAGGACAATAATAGGTGAGAGATGCTTATTGGAATCTTTTATAAACGTGATCTGGTTAACTAATCATGATTTAGTTAATGATAATTATGTAAAGTGAGCCTGGCCTAATAAGGCCAGTTCATCCTTTTTACATTCCTCTTTTTATTAAATAAAAACTAAAGCGTAGTAGTACACGTGTATTTATTTGCTTAGTACATATAAAATACAGTTGTACTACACAAGTGTATTTTATATGTACTCGGCAATAAGTAAATATGTTAGGAAACTATATAAAAATACTTTATAATTTATATTTTTATTCCATCAGTCTTATTGTATTGTACTTATAAACTTTTTATTTTTTATTTTTTAGCCATTTTGAGAGTAAATCAACATTTGATTTAAAAAAAGTTTTAACTTTATAATGTGTCACGTCAAGGTTTTTCTAATATTTTTATTTAACTTGCAATGTTAGTTCGTTTTGGGTAAACTCTAGGTAGCTAAAACGAACGATTTTCTATTAGTCTACCGCGTTAAAATTTTATTCTGTTGATTTAGTTGTGATGGCCATATATTTTTCTGATAAGCATGACCTGATGCTGTACCTAAGATAGGCACCAGACGAGGGAACTCCTCACTGGTCAATAGCAAATACATAAAATTAAAATAGTATGTTCTAAATTACACTACAGCCTGTCTGCTGTGACGGAACTCCTCAGTTGTGATAGTCTTTTGTAAAGTTCTTCAAATATACAAAACCTCGTTTTTTAATGAAAACAATACAAATAATTTGTTACTTCACTATTTTCTTCAGGAAATATTTTAAGAATAAACAAATCTGTAACATGTATGACTAAAACAATAATTTTTTTAAATCAAATATTTTTTAACACAAAATTGCCCAATATAACAAAAAAATTGACAAGTTTTGCTTTCTTTGTGGTGTGTTAATGAGCCATCATTTTTTTGTTAATTAATAATAATAATATTAGTTAATTAACTTTACCATTATTTTAAATAATACGCCACACGTAAATAACGCATTGCGTATTACAGGACGCCGTACATTATACGTACGGCGTACTTCATTCATTACAGACTAACTATCACCCGCGGCTCCGCTCGCTAATAGGGAGGACAATAGTACAGTTTATAGCTTACGAGCTTTTGCCCGCGGCTCCGCCCGCGTGTTTGTCGGTTATCGTGAAAAAAAAGTAACATGTAAAGTAAAAAATAATGTAGCTTTCCATTCATGAAAGAGCTTTAAAAATTCGTTGAGTGGTTTAGGCGTGAGAGCGTAACCAACAAATAAACTCACTTTTAAATTTGTAATATACAAGCTTTTGCTTTCGGATTCGCCTGCGTGTATATTGATTATCGCGGTAAAAAGTAGCATGTGTTACTCGCTGATAATGTAGGTTTCTATTAGTGATGGAATTTTTAAAAAATAATTTATATAACGATTTAGTTGTTTAGGCGTGAAACCGTAACAAACAAACTCATTATCACATTTATAAGTATGGAGGTATGGATAGCCCTCAGAGATAATGTAGCTACAAATTAGTGAATAACCAAAATAAGCTAAGTAGTTTCAAAGAACACCCACAAACAAATTTTACCTCTTTAGTAAAGAAGATAAGTCCTTTTGTGACCTTATTTCACTGCGGTCAAGAACGCGGGATAGTTAAAAAAAAAAAGATGACGACATAGTCGATACTTACTTTTAGAAGTAACCAATTAACGATACTTTATTAAATATAAATAATGATTTATTGTGCTTTGAAAACAACTGTTATCGTAACCGCAAACGCTACTTAGGGTATTGCGTAGGACATTAAAATAAATAATAACGCACCTGTAACGCACTTACTATATTTAATTATAAGTGCTGGAATTATGTTGTAAACAAAAGGAACATTCTGGAAAAAAAATTACTCAACATTTATTCTTAGCGTAAAATAAGAGACCGTTTTAAAAAAACAATAGAACCCGATTTTTACTGTGCTTTAAAACGAACTAGAGAAAAGATTATCTGGCGGTCTTTTATATCGTTGATCAGCATAACTTAAACTGTCATGTAATAGATTATCGTGCCAGGACAGATCGAAACATATACTGGACGTTTGTAATTTTATGCAGCCGTTTTATATAATGTTTGACGTTATATCACATACTGTTTCGTAATTTTAGCTTTCTGCAGTTATTCTCAATATAAACATTCAGTATTTCTAGTAAAAATGAGATATGCTTCCGCGATATTGGTTTAAAAAGGGTTTGAAAAGTACAAAGAAGTATTCATGCAAAACTATTTCATTTCCAGCACATCCCCGTCATGTATGTCCTCGTCAATGCGTCGGTAGTGCACAGTAGTAAGATAATTTGTTTAATGTTTCAGATGCGGCGGTGACGCGATGTCTGTCGCGCCGGCGGTGAAGCGCGAATTGGACCTGGAGAGCGGCGGCGGCAGCCCCGGCCGCAAGCGGCGTAAGCAAGCGGCGCCGACCCGTGCAACTCCACAGCAACTCGCGCCTCCGCCGCTCGATCTTCACGCCAAGATGGCTGACATTTACAAGAGCGCGCTCGCCTTCGGGGAGCTCGCAATACCCGCCTTTGACCCTCTCGCCGCCTTCCGTCTACTACCCCGCCATGAACCACCCCGGATTTTCAATCCGGAAGCGTACTGCGATCTTTGTTGTAAAGAGTTCTGTAATAAATATTTCTTGAAGACTCACCGCGCTAACAAGCACGGTATCTACGATGGTACTGAGATGCAGCCGGCACCACCGCCGCCTGCGCAGCTATCACCGCCGCGTCGCGCCTCCGACGAGGAATCTGGTGGTACACCACGAAGACTATCACCTGATTCTGCGAGAAGAGCCCGCGAAGCCGGTTTTCAGCCAGATGCTCTACGCCGACTCGGCGTAGTAAACCCTGAGGCGTTTTGTGAAATCTGTTGCAAAGAATATTGCAACAAATACTTTCTCCGTACGCATCGAGAACGACGACACGGTGTGCCTATTCGACGGTCGCCGATACATGACCATTCGCCACCCTCGGCTACACCTCCTGCAGGCCCATTAGGAACGCCACTTGGAACGCCTCTAACTACGCCCTTGGCCACGCCACCAGCTCTATCGGTGCCACCACCTGATACGCCACCCCGATCGCACTCATTACCACCACCGTTAGAGCCCGAAGAAATGGCTGAAGTCAAGCGTGAGTGTGAGGATGAACTAGAAGCAGCGCTGCGGGACGGACAAACGAGTCCGCTAAACTTGATCGTAGAAGAGCGTGGCGTCTCTTCGCCGGGGTCCGCAAGTGAAGAGCTGCGCAAGCTGCAGACAATGATTTCCCAATTGAATGAGTTGGCAGCTGAGCGCTTAGCAGACGAACCAAACGATCCAGGTCCCCGGCCACCATCCACGTCACCGCCACCTCAAGATGAGCGCCGCGCGTCCTCCTCTGGCTCTAGCTTTTGTGAGATCTGTAATAAGGAACTGTGTAATAAATACTTCATGCGCACGCATATGCAGCGAATGCACGGTATTTCGTTAGAGAGCGGCACGCAATTGGGAGGCGTTACATGCGACATCTGCCACAAAGAGTTATGCAGTAAATACTTCCTTCGCGTGCACAAGCATAACACTCATGGCATTCCTGCACCGCCAGCACCTGCGGCCACGGCACCCGCCGAACCGTGCCCACTGTGCGCGCGACGGTTCAGAGGTCCACGTGCGTTGCGGGCACATTTGCTGGCTGAACATGCACCACCGGCGCGACCACCACCTCCACCACCCCGGCCGCTCGACCTGCTAGCGAGAGATAAGCCGTACGCTTGTTCCTATTGTCCTTTCACCACAGACGTACTAGCATTTCTATTCGCGCACGAACGTGCACATGCGCAGCAGCAAGCGAACGAGCCACCCGACCTGCCACCGGAGCCTCCGGGCAGCGGAGGGAGCATAGGGGACATGGAAACTAGTGACATGGGCCCCGAGAGCCTCGAGGGGGGTGATGGGAGTGAGAGTGACGCGACGTACTCGTGCTCACGCTGTGAGTTCCGCGCGGAGGGTTTCGCTGCGCTGGAGGCGCACCTGCGTGCGGCTCATGGCGGGGCGGGTGCGCTGCTAGCGGTACCGCGAGCGCCGCAGGCCCCGCTCACCATGCAGCCCTTCGTGGTGGAGGAGGCGGGCGGCGCGTTGAGCCTGGTGCCCGCGCTGGTGTTCCTGCCGGTGCGGCGTCGCGCCACACGTCGCGCTACGGTGACGTTGACGCTGACGCCGGCCTAGCCGCGCCTCTCGGCCCTCGCTGCAGTGAGCGCGCGCGCGCCACGAGATTACACCGCCGCGCGCGCGCGCCTACGATCGCTGAACTGTACTAACTACATTTAACGCTGTGTGCCTTCAAGCGATTGCTGAAATATTATGAGACGTAATTATAAAGGGAGAAGCTGTCTGCGGCCGCCCGCCCGAGAGCCACACCGCGCGGCGGCCCCCGGCCTCTTTTTTTGTCAGAGTCTTACTTCATATATTGAGAATTATATTAAACGGGTGATATATGAAACGTTGCCGCTTATAAATTCGATTATTTATTATTATCTCCTCGATGTTCCGTCGGGTCGGTCCGAGACGAGTTTATGAAACGTCGATTTCGATCGGGAGAAGAAATACACCCTAGGAGTAATTATTATTTAATGGTATATTATCGGTGAGTGCGCACTCACGATAGCGTCGTAGTACCGGTGCGATGTTGATCACTGAGCGAGCCGGCAGCGAGCCGCCGCCACGGGTAGCGTACTACGACAACCGCTCTACCTCACCACCGTTAGTTTTTATATTAGCTGTTATTGTATAAATTATATTTTGGAGTTACAATAAAGTACAAATATAGTTAGTGCGTTACTACGCCGCGCCGGACGGAGGCCGCGCGTTCATGTTAGCTACTCGATACTATTTATTGTTGTCTACGAGTGACTTAAAGCACAAAGATACGTACTATTGGGCAGTGATCAACATTAAACGTAATTTTAGTATTAAATTTGATTAGATATGTGGTCGTGGGGCTCGGTCAGACGGGTTTTGTTGTGTAACACACCAATATATACGGGTCCTTGTTTAGGGCGCGCCGGGCTGAGCTCGGCGCGCCCGCCGCCCTGCGAGCGCTGCATTATACACTTATTTGTATTGTAATCGTAAACATAATGTGTTACTGCTGACGGCGCGCGTCCCGCAACGCTCCGCGCTACTACTACACAATACTAATGGCCGCTTTACATATACAGCTTTTAACAGAACATTATATGATAAATATACGTTTTATAATAGCTTTACAAAATACATCTTAAAAGACTGAACGCAACAAAACAACTACCTCATTTGGAGCGATGCGAGACGCGTTACGTATTAATATTATTATCTTGATAATCAAGACTTATTTGATGGGTGAAACGGTAACAAAATTTGTTTAAATAATTCATTATTGGTAGATCAGTGTGGGAGTTAGCTTGTACAAACCATGCAGCTTCTAAAGAAAGTTCCTATGTATGTACGTAAGTTGTAATTTAAATTTAAAGAAACTAGAGGTCGCCCTCGTAACGACTCCGGGATTGCGGAATTAACTCATTTTAATGATAGTAAATGTGATTTTGGATCAGGGTAAACCTTATGAAGAAATATAGTCAATATGGTTATTATCCAAACGTTACATAAACGATCACATTAATAGTAATAAATACTGGTATTACAAAGATAAAAACAATTACAAAATTTATGATGAAATTTAATATTGTGGATAAAAATTCTAAATAACAGGGCTGTCCAATTTAGCAATGAGATTATGAAAGTCAGAATATTAAATTTTTGAGGCACTTATATATAAAACGGCCGCACCAAGACTGCCCCAAGGGACCCCATAAGAAAATGCATTATTTTTTTAATTACAAGTTTTTGCCTTTTGCTTATATCTCTAGGTAGTATTTACTTACTTATGTCAACTACTTCACTGTCAACTATACTTAACTGACAATATTATTTACTTAAATGTCAATCTCGCTGGAAACAACTATAACTTTGAACAAGGTTTCTTTTTAGTTTATTCAAGTTCATGAAAAATATATTACGAATATAATAATGTCTTCGGGGCCTCTGAGGTCAAGGGGGGTCCTGGCCACGTGCCTGTATGCCCCCATTGTTAAGGGCATCAGTGACTTAAGCCGTATTCGTCATGACCCTCGCAAGTTTAGACTTTTGGACAGTCCTAGTTGATAACAGCTTCTTTAGAATAACATATTATAAAAACAAAGCATCTATGCAAGTTAGCCACGTTGTTCAAAAATCTATCTAAAGTTCCTAGTTTAAAGTTCCAAATCAATTGAGTCCTATTAATTTTCAAAAGAGCGAAAAATTATGAATAAAACAGTGATTACTATTACAACCATCTTCCTATTAGTCTTCCGGATGCAAAGCCAAACGCGCTGTCCCGGAGTCGAGGCGTTGGCGCGCAAGACAACAAATTATATTAATAATGTTTTAAGTAATAAAAAATTAATAAAATTGTACGCGTGATAAGATCTCCGGTCATCGTCCGTTTTCTTAGTGCATCCGTGGAACAATGTAGGGAATGTCGAGTTTTTATTACATGGAGAGAGTGGACGGTCACCAAGATCAAAATCATTGGATGTAGTGAAAAAAACTATGTATTAAAAAATTGTGTTCAAATATTTTGTTTCCTATTCGCGTTGTACAGGGAGTGGAAATATAATAAAGGTTGTGGTGGTAGCTAAGATGGGACTACTATTATTACTATTTATTACTATTACTAAGATGGGACTACTATTATTACTATTATAACTATTACTAAGATGGGACTACTATTATAACTGTTACAAGTCAGTTTTTATTATTATTGATTGTATATAATTTAGTTTAAACTTGAAATTCTAAACGCACGCACACATTTTAAATAAGTGTAAATTTTAATGAGATTACTAAAAAAAGTGTTTAAAATGAGTTACAAAATACTTTTCTTATATAATAAATAAAACAGGTTGTATCTAATAACTAAAATCAAAAATAATATTTTTCTAGTCCTAAATTCTAGTCAACTTAATATTATTTTAAAGTAAAGTAATAATTGGACTCTACTTAATTTTTATATTTTTCACGTATTCATATACTTTTATGTCACACCTACCAACTAATTAAAAGTATATTAGTCGATACAACGAAAGTAAAAAAAAAATACTTTTTCAAATGTCTATGGATTTGTGTCTCACCTTAGCTACTGCACCGACTTAACAATAGTACAAAATTTGTTGACCAATAATGCACGGTATCGGAGTTTGGTAAACAGTACAAATTATTATTAAGTGTAGTGGAGGCGGGCAGGTGTGCAGTAATTGTTGACAAGATCCACTCACGTACAACGTATATAAACAGTTGATACAGTCGCACCGTACGTTAAAATAATAATGCGTATTATTATTTTCAATGTCGTATTATTAAATTCACTTATTATTATAGTTGCAAAAATTATTTTCCTAGAAAAGTCAATGATTTATTTATGAACAGTGTATTGTATTATTATTTAATTTAAATTATCGATAGATACATAGCCTAAAGTTAAAATATTGTCTTCGTCTAATAAATCAGCCATGACAGTCTGAGATGAGAAGGGTTTTTGGTAGATAGTATATCTAGTTCATGAAACGTCTGCTTTTTAAATGCTATAGAATCCCCATTGTGTCTATGGGATCCTGGTGTTGTGAACTTACTAGATATAATAAAAAAAAAAACATTTTTTTAAACAGAATTTTAACGGTATACATGTAGCTGTTTTGATATTTGTCATACTTTGAGTTGTACCGCTTAAAATATTTCTTTCCCAACAGCTTAAAAGTTATTTAGTTATGTATAATGTTATTAAATCTGTCCTCATATGTATATCCGATTTCGCGTTTGTCAAGTCAGCATGCAGCTGATCATGTAAAATTAATTATGTGGAAACGAAATACGTATTAAAAAATTACCAATAAGTGCTTTAACAAAACTTAGTTACATTTTGGGTTTAATACATTCCAGTATTTGCGAAATATTGTAATGAAATAACAAACTAATTGATAAGATAACAAGAAATATTTTTTGCAAAAATAATATGTACAGTAACTAATATAGTGAATAATTTTTAAAAAGTTAACAAACGCCCTCGCAGCTAACTTCGGACCGCTGTTAAAATATTTTGTGAGGGTCTGAAGTGAGCCGCAGATGGCATTGTTACTATTTTTGTCAATTTCAAATATTGAAGAAGTTTACTATTGAAATATATATATTTGATTTTGACAAAACAGTTAAGTATGATCTCTTGAACGAAAAGTTCCTTTTTTTAATTCCAAAAGTGTAATATGTTCTAGTCGTTAGTGTTCCTAGATTATTTTTAGTGCGACTGTATATTTAAAACATAAAAATGATTTTTCGAGTTGTATTAAAACTGTGTTGTTTCTAGTCAAATTATTTTATTAAGAATTTTTCTAATGTGGATTGCCAATAGATAAATACAAGTATATATATATTTAGGTAATAAAAATACAAAACCGGAGAAAAATACTGTACTGGTGTTAGTTCAAATTGTGAATTTCAATAGTATGATAAAAACTTTTGGCGTCCACATTGGATAAAATTATATTTAAAAATATATAAAGAGAATTATATTCAGGCTTTAGGAGAAAGCCAAACCTTATGCCGCGGCCATGTTGTATTACTAATTATTAAAAAAAAGTAATCTATGAGTTTAAATAAAAGAAGAACCCTCTTCTATTTTTAATTTTTTTTTAGATGAGATTTGTCATTAATTTGGAGGGAAGTCTAGGAAACTTTAAAATTTATTTTATTGTGAGTACATATAATATTTCAAAGTAAATGTTTTTAATTAACATTTTGTTGAATAATAAGTTACAATAAAATTAATAATAAGTGGTACAGTGTGGTTTGCGGTCGGTATATGTTCCTAGCTCCGTCTGTTGGTTATGTGTTTGTTTTCCATTAATTACTACGAAGCATGTCTACCGTATTCAATAAATTAAATATACAAATAAGTGTTGATTTCTTTTTTCCTTCCCTTGCTTGGTTATAAGAATAGTATTAGCTTATACACAGTATTAGTATTGATCACAAATTTTAACTCGAATTTACTTTTAAAACGAAACCTAAATGCGTATGTATGTACGTACTTTGGTAGAAAAAAGGAATATAATAAAAGCATACCTTACTACACTTTTATTTGTGCAAATCGTGTA